GTGTGTTGTTAGGTGCCATCAAGTCAGGTACAACTCTTAGCAACTCAATGTATAAGAGAAAGAAACACTGCCTGCTCCTCTCCCGTCCTCACGATTGTCATACTCGGACCCAGGTTTGCAGTCATGGGGCCAATCTGCCTTATGGAGAGTCCTTGTCCTGTTTGCTCCCTGGCTGCTTTACTCAGGATGACGTCCAATGTTCCCAGATTCCAATTTTGTACATGTCAAGTTCCAGTAGTTTTAATCGTCTTAGTGGTATAGAAATCACTTATTATGCAATTTAATAGTTCGATCATATTAGCAAGAGTTGTGCAATCGCCAGTCAATTTTATACCATTTTCTTCTTTCTCCTATTCATTGTTATTAGTTGCCTATTTTATTAATCCAGTTACTTTTTCTATAGATTGACTGATCCTAGATTTCATATTCAGAATATCATACAAGATAAAAATAGAACAGAAAAAAATGACAAAACAAACCAGAAAATCTCAATGGATAAATCACAAACCTTCCAATTATTAATAGATGTTTGCAACTATTTCTTCTCATTTTAAATCATCCACCATATGAAATGGAAGTCCAGAAAGCTCTATATCACCCACATCATTGTGGAGAGTTCCTTTGAGAAGGCAGCTCTTTTTCAGTGCTCTTTTGAGTGCCTTCTGACCAGAATTCATCTTCTGGCACAATGCCTCACAACATTCCCGTGTTATTCATGAGGGTCTCAGTATATCTGACAGGATCCCACCGCGCTCCATGAGGGTTCAGTGGCTAATTCCTCAGGAGCAGGAGTAGATAGCCAATTCCTTCTTCATGGCCTAGATATGCTTAAGCTCCTCTGAAAAGAGCATATCTAGAGTTGTCTTGCTGTTATTTGAAATACCAGTGAAGTAGCTTTCAGGATCCCAGAAACATATAAGCCATTACACTCTGACAAACTGACAGACAGTTGACAGAATATATACATTGATAACTAAGTATATCGATAACTATGTATATATGTAACTAGATATCTATATAACTAAGTATATATATGCATGTATAACCTAGTACACCTTTAGTCTCTAAGAAGATATATATATACTTAGTTACATCATATATCTTGACAATCTCACAATCTGACTTTTCCAATAAGATTTAATGGCAAAATCACTGACTATCAAGGAAAAAAAAAACGAAGGAGGAGAGAGAGGGAAAGGAGAAAACAGAGGTCAAATAATTAGGAAAAAAAGGAATTAGTAGAAGGGAAATGTGTACGGTGTAAAATCTCTAGTATTTCATTTTTGTTTCCCTCTCCTAGTACCTTGGGTTAATCACTTAGCTATTCAGTTCCCAGACTTTTGGTTCATAAAATGATGTTTCTGCTTTTGTAATTCTTTTTGAAGATTTTTGTGGGTATACACTTGACATATCCTATAATTTTTTCATTCAATCCTATTAAGAAGAGCTGTATAATAATTACCATAATCAACTTCAGAACATTTTTTTCTCTTAATCATTGTTGTTGGCTCCCCATTCCCCACCATCATCCTCTGACATGATTACAAAACAAGGAGTCAGATGAAACAATGACAGAATGTAATGTCCTGAAAGGATTTAATGTAGTGAGAAAGAGGGATTAACATATGAATAAACACTTGGGGTTATCATAGCACACCAACTAAATTCAATAATTTATAAGGAAAAAAATGATAAAAAGAATATACTAAAATTATTGCTGTTGAGTTGATTCTGCCGCATATATATTTTCTGAACTATAATCTTTACAGGAGCTGACAGCCTCGTTATTTTCCCTTGGAGCAGCTGCTAGGTTTGAACACCTGAGATTGAGGTTAGCAGACTCAATGAGTAACCCTGTAGATTACCAGGGCTTCTTTCAAAACTAGTGGGGAAAATTTAAATTACCTCTGGATTGTTCTGCTTAATAATCCAGTGAATTGTGCAATATATTTAGAAAAGATTCCATAAAATTTTTAAAATATTGTAAGTGCTAATGCTTTTCAATAGGAACAATGTGAAATATAGTGTAGAAAAAAAGTGCTGCATCATTAAATACAGGTTTTCAATTTCTTAGTATCCAATCTCCAACAGGGATAGACAAATGAAATCTAACAGTACACAATATGCCCTCCTCCAAAGCATAAAATAAAAGACACTCTAAATAGTTAACTTTTTCCTTGTCCTATTATATTAGTATTGATTACAAAGTTGAAAACAATATGTGCAGATTTGTAGGATTCTGAATACTTGCTCTGTTAAAATAACATTATGAAATTCTATGTTTGACAAGGACTTAAATATTATACACGACCTTTCCTTTCTTGACTTTGCACAAATATTCTTTGACTTTGGTTCTTCCTTGAGA